ATTACTAAATGGATATATCACTTAGCTATTTACAAAGAGCCTGAGTAGAAACAATATCGGTTTTCAACGTGGGATCGGGGATTTCTTCTAGAGGTGAAAGTTCGGTTATAATTGTTATTCGAACAGAGTCGGCGTAATCATTTACATAATACGTACTCGAACAACTAGGATGTATAATTTTTCCTTTGCAGGTCTACATTCAAACTATTTTACGTCATTATTCTTTCAATTATGGTTGCAAGATTATTCTCTCCTACCATATTTTATTGTCGAACTTGATGGACCACTTGGTCGGTGTCCTGATTTCAATTAACCACTAAATATGGTGGGCGATCGACTTCCCTAGGCCTTTGTTGTTCGACTAAATTGGGCATAAATTGTTGGTACAGATTAACTATTTTTTCTTCAAGGATGATTCCCTCATTTTGAATCGGCCTAACAGTCTGTGGTTGTACAATTGGTCGAACTTGCACCTGAAGGGCACCAAAGAAATCGACAATTCGAGTCATTTGGGTCGCCAGTTGTCAGTATATATAATTTGTATTTTGAATCAAAGGGTTATAGTACCCATTTTTCGGGTAAGCAAGTAACCCATCTCATGGTTTCTTTCATCCATTTGTTGTCTCATCGTCATCACATAATTTGTGATGAAAGTCGGCATCGCTTGGGAAACAAATCCCATCTTTAATTATGGTTGTGTGGTTTACCAGAGTTTCTTATAGCTGAACCTGAAGCCAATAGTGGCGAATATGCAGTCACCACATTGTCAGTAAATATTGAAGCATTCGTTTTCAAGTTTTCCATCATTGATGTTGGCATACCATTAGATTGTTCTCGACTAGGTATATGCATTATGAAACTTGTGGCATAAGGTCTGAAGTCACTTGCCATAATCGGCCTAGGAGTCACAGGGTGATTCTATGTTATTGATGGGGAGATTATCATCCTTTTTTGCGCACTCAACGATATGGCTGTCGTGCTTGCTATGGAGGCGATTCCCTCAGTCGAACTTGCAACGACCATGTCTACCTCTGTGTTATTGGATGGTTGTTCTCCATTGTTTTTATTTATGAGATTAACCAATCTCCTAATGTATCTCTTGGTTGGTTTTCCAACGTCTTTTTTGGTTGTCCTATCATTCCTTAATCTCATGCACACTCCAAAATTTGAGAAGTTTCATAAATGAAGAACTTAGAAAAATGTAAAATTTTGTACAAAGGGTCCCACTGGGTGTGCCAATTTGTTTACTTTAAAATATGGAAAACAAAACTCGAAAAATTCCCTGGACATATTGTGCAAAATTATGAGTTTTAAACACATTTAATGTAAAATTTGAAAAATAAAAGAAACTTGAAAATAACTTTCAATGCAATAAACACCATAAAAAAAAAAGTAAGAAAACTTAATTCATGAAATGAACGCAAATACATATATTTTCAGGTCACTTTTTTCTCACTAAACACTTGGGTACTTTGAGTTTGTAGAATTTATTGAAAGGGTATATATACTTTTTAGTTAGTCAAGTCAATAAAAAGAGACAGAAAAAAGAAAAAGTGAAAGCTAAGAAAAATGGTAGATAGTGAAATGTTATTCTCATTGTTTCTTAAAAGATAAAATGATAGTGCTATAGAAATATATTTGTGCGCTAAGTTAGTGCAATAAAACCAAATCAAATAATGCAAATGGGATGTATTTTAATTCCAACTTGGAAAGTTTAGTTAGCATAGAGTAAATTATTTATGCGCTAAGTTAGACCTAATATTATATCATACATTAGGTGCAAATAAAACAACTGAAGTTCTGAAGGCTCATTCCACGAATGCAGAAAGCATACATCACTTTTTAAAAGACAAATTATATATATATATATATATATATATATATATATATATATATATATATATATATATATATATATATATATATATATATATATATATATATATATATATATATATATATATATATATATATATATATATATATATATATATATATATATATATATATATATATATATATATATATATATATATAATGTTTTTCACACTTTTTAATTAAGATTTTTTTTATGTTTTTATTTTTATGTTGGTCTTAAAGGTGGGTATTTTCATTGTGTTTAACTTATAAAAGTATTTGATATCGAATGTTGAAGATGAGAATAAAAGAGAATAAAAGTGTGAGAAAGCATAAGAGATGGCATTTGACTCGTAATGAAGATTACGACTGTAATGGCTATTGTGAGATGTTGGATCAAATTCTAGTATGGTCGAAGTGTAGCTTTTGGTTCGACATTAAGCATGAGGTCGAAATATGTTCACATGTTGTTGTCGGAGTAATGCGTGTTGTAGTCGAAGTTTGTTCTAACATGTATTAGTCAATATTGCTAGGGTTGTTAGCATGTTGAATTGGGTCTTGCTTGTAAGCGCAATTGTTTAAGTTAACTTGTAATGGATCATTGTTAAAAAAATCCATTAGGTTAGTGTGCTATTTTTTCTTATAAATAGGATGCTAGTTTCTTAATATTGGCATAAGGAAAAATAGAAAAATAAAATCCTAATTTCAAGAGAGAGGTTATTTTGTTATTCTTGTATACTTGTAATCTCGTTTCTAAAAGAAAGAAAAGAATAACAGTTTATAACCAATCCTTGTTGTTTTACCTTGTTTTCTTTGTTAACCATAACCCTTGTGTGTTTCTTGGTCATAAAGAAACCGTTTATACTTTGTTTCTAGATATCTGATTCACAACAAATTGGTGCGGTGAGCGTTAAAAAGATACCCTCAACAAAGTATGAGATTGAAAAGTTCACTAGAGTGAACGACTTCGATCTGTGGCGCTTGAAGATGAAAGCCCTACCGGTTCAGCAGGATTGTTTGGAAGCGTTGAAGGGTGAGGCAACCATGGACGTTGCGCTAACGATAAAAGAAAAGACGAGCATGATCGAGAAATCCCACAACGCAATATTGTTGAGCTTTGGGGATAAGGTTCTTCGACAGGTATCAAAGGAGACTACAACGTCGAGATTATGGGTGAAACTTAAAGTTTTTACATGACCAAGTCTCTGGTGAATCGACTATACCTGAAGCAAGCTTTGTATTCATTCAAGATGAATGAAGACAAAGTGTTGGCTGGGCAGTTGGATATGTTTAACAAGATGATTCTTGATCTTGAAAATATTGATGTGAAGATCGATGATGAAGATCAAGCACTGATGTTGTTGTGTGCTTTGCCCATAACACATGCTCACTTCAAAGAAACTCCCTTGTATAGAAGGGAGTCCCTGACCTTTGAAGAAGTTCAATCACCCTTGTATTCTAAGAACTTGAACGAACGAAAAGAGCATAAACCTTCGACGGTGGATGAAGGTTTGGCCATTAAGGGAAAATTATTGCGAAAGGATGGTAAGTTTGACAAGAAGAAATGTAAAAGTCAACAAAAATCTTATAGTGGCGAAACATCTGGTATTCGATGTTATCACTATAAGAAGGAGGGTCACACAAGAAAGGTGTGCCCTGAACGCCTGAAAATTCGTGGAGGTAATGACAATGCATCCATTGTTCAAGATGACTTTGACTCATCTAATGTTCTTGTGGTTTCAAGTGGCGACTCGAGAAAAGAATGGATTATGGATTTAGGTTGCACTTGGCATATTACTCCAAACAGAGAATTGTTTGAGGAGCTATGTGATCAAAATAGTGGATCTATATTGTTGGGAAACAACAAATCTTGCAAAATTGCAGGTATTAGATTTGTGAGATTCAATCTCCATGATGAGTCAATAAGGTTATTGATTGAAGTCAAGTATGTCCCTGACTTGAAGAGAAATTTGATTTCTCTTGGTGAATTCGACAGAAAGGGATACGTTTTTCAAGGAGAGAAAAGTATCCTAAGAGTCATGAAGGGGTCGAAGGAAGTCTTAAGAGGCGCGAAGAAGCAAGACTTGTATACCCTTGAGGCTGAGGTTGTAAGTGGTTCGATAAATTTTGCATCCACGAAACCTGTGTCGAAGACAGAATTATGGCACATGAGATTGAGCCATGTCAGCGAAAGAGGCTTGGTCGAATTGGGGAAGCAGAACCTTCTAGGAGGTGACAAAGTCGAAAAGTTGGAGTTTTGTGAATCTTGTGTATTTGGTAAATTCTGTAGGGAAAAGTGTAACAAAGGCAAGCAAAGAACATCTGGATCCCTGGATTACATTCATGTTGATCTTTGGGGGACTGCAAGGAATCCTTCACACTCAGGTGCAAGGTATTTTCTATCCTTCGTTGATGATTATTCTAGAAAGATATGGGTATTCATTCAGAAGACGAAGGATGATACTTTTGAGAATTTCAAAAGTTGGAAGATCCTGCTCGAAACTCAAACTGGCAGAAAGGTTAAGAGGTTGAGAACCGACAATGGCCTTGAATTCTGCAACGAAGCGTTCAACATTTATTGTGTTGAGTTTGGGATTGCAAGGCATAAGACTGTAGCAGGTACTCCTCAACAAAATGGCTTAGCTGAGAGATTCAACCGAACAATCCTTGAAAGGGTTAGATGCATGTTGGTTAGTGCTGGATTGAAGAAGGTTTTTTTCACTTAAAATTATATTTGTTTTAATTCTCTTCGTCCAATTGTATCAATAACAAAAAAAAATTATATTAAAAAAACAAAACTCTATCAAATCTAATACTATTTAAATACCTAATCTATGCGTGGATTTTAATCTAGCTTCCTTCTTAATTCAAGTCTTTCACTCCAAGTCAGTCAACCCAACAATATGCTATAGTTCAAACCACTTCCCAACTTGCAGATTGGGCTATAAATGCGTGATTATGCTAACATGAAGATTATTCAGTAGCGTATGGCATCATCCAAATGGTTCCCCAAGTTGCAAATGGTTCGCCTATATATCTAATCATATTTAAAAGGTTAATCATAGCTGAAAGTTGCATATCTAAACTACTTCTGGTAATAAGCACTTAACAATAAATACAGATTCTACATTAATAATAGCAACATGGGGACTATTATTTTTACGTTTTTTCTTTGCTTTGTTAGCCAAATGTTGGTGTATTATCTCATGCCATCAACAGTTGTTGCTCTTTCTTTGAGTTCAGAGACTGATAAGCTTGCTTTGCTTGCTTTGAAAGAAAAACTTACAAATGGTGTTCCCGAATCTCTCCCATCATGGAATGAGTCTCTACATTTCTGTGAATGGCAGGGGGTTACATGTGGCCGTCGTCACATGAGAGTCTCTAGCTTGCAGTTGGAGAATCAAACATGGGGTGGTACTCTTGGTCCATCCTTGGGAAATCTAACATTTTTGAAAATACTGATGCTTAGAAACCTCGCGTTGCACGGTGAAATTCCAGCTCAAATTGGTCGTTTGAAGCGATTGCATGATCTTATCTTAAGCAGCAACAAGCTTGAAGGAGAAATTCCTATAGAGCTCTCAAACTGCACAAATCTACGAGTAATTGAATTGTATCACAATCAACTCATTGGAAGAGTCCCTTCATGGTTTGAATCGATGCAACTTACTTTGTTGAACCTTGGTTTCAATAATCTAGTTGGCACTATTCCATCTTCCTTGGGAAATATTTCATCACTCTCGGATCTATCACTTTCATCGAATCACTTGGCGGGAAACATACCCCATGCTTTGGGTAAGTTGTCAGGTTTGAAAATGTTGACTCTAGATTTAAATAATTTGTCAGGTGAAATTCCTCATTCTCTTTACAATCTATCGAATATTCAATCATTTATTCTCGTGGATAACAAGTTATTTGGTAGTCTTCCATCAAATCTGAATCTTGCTTTTCCCAATCTTCGAGGGTTTTTGGTTGGAGGGAACCAAATAAGCGGAGCTTTTCCATCTTCAATATCCAATATCACCGATTTAACAACGCTTGATATAGCTCGTAATGCTTTTAATGGACCAATACCTCTTACTTTGGGTCAATTAAATAAACTTGAGAGGGTTGATATTGGTGATAATAACTTTGGAAGTGGAGGGAATCATGATTTAGATTTCCTTTCTTCACTAACCAATTGTACTAAATTATCACTCCTCTCCTTTTATAAGAATAGATTTGGTGGTCTGTTGCCCGATCTTATAGGAAACTTTTCGAGTATTGTTACTCTTGATATTTCATTTAATCAAATATATGGGGCTATACCTGAAAGCATAGGACAACTAACTGGTTTAACTAGCTTAGACATTGGGTTCAATCACCTTGAAGGAACAATTCCAAGTTCAATTGGAATGCTCAAGAATATAGAACGACTGGTCTTGCAAGCAAACAAGTTATCTGGTAATATTCCACTATCTATTGGAAATCTTACTATATTGTCTCAACTATATCTTGCTGCAAATATATTACAAGGAACCATTCCAGTTACCCTGAGATATTGCACTAAGTTGGAGATAGTAAGTATGAGTGTTAACAATTTGAGTGGTAATATACCCAACCAAACTTTTGGTTATCTAAGAGGTTTAGTATTACTTGTCTTGTCCAACAATAGCTTCACTGGTTCTATTCCGTCAGACTTTGGTAATTTAGAGCAACTTTCCCAATTGTTTCTTCACTCAACCAAGTTATCTGGTGAAATTCCAAATGAACTTGGTGGCTGTTTGTCATTAACAAAGTTAGTTTTGAGGGAGAATTTCTTCCATGGAAATATACCTTTGTTCTTGGGCTCCTCTATACGCTCCCTCGACACGTTAGACCTTTCTAGAAATAATTTCTCAGGAACAATCCCCTTTAAACTAGAAAATCTAACACTTTTGAATTCTCTAGACTTGTCTTTCAACAATCTCTATGGAGAGGTTCCCACTGGGGGTGTCTTTAGCAATGCCTCACGAATTTCACTATCGGGAAACAATAACCTCTGTGGGGGGATACCTCAATTGAAGCTTCATGCATGCTTTAGGGCCCCTTCAAGGAAACACAAGAGATCTCTAAAAAAGAAACTTATCATCATCATCATCAGTGTAATTGGTGGAATTTCTATCTCTTTTATAGCTTTTCTAGCGGTCCATTCTCTCACTGGAAAGCGGAAAAGGTTACCTTCTTCACCATCGTTGCAAGATGAAAGCTTAAGGGTTACATATGGAGATCTACACGAAGCAACCAATGGATTTTCATCTTCAAATTTGTTAGGAGTTGGAAGTTTTGGCTCTGTTTACAAAGGATCTCTTCTCAACTTTGAAAGGCTTGTTGCTGTAAAGGTATTGAATCTTGACATACGTGGTGCAACAAAGAGTTTCATGGCAGAATGCAAAGCTCTGGGAAAGATGAAGCACCGAAATCTTGTCAAGGTCATAACTTGTTGTTCAAGTATTGATTATAATGGTGTAGATTTTAAGGCAATTGTTTTGGAGTTCATGGCTAATGGGACTCTAGAAAAGTTGTTGCATAGTAATGAAGGGTATGAAAATGAAAATCATAGTCTCAGCCTCACACAAAGGGTCGATATCGCTCTTGATATAGCTCATGCATTGGATTATCTTCACCATGACGAAGAGCAAGTTGTAGTTCACTGTGATATCAAGCCAAGCAATGTTCTTCTTGATAAAGATATGGTAGCTCACTTGGGAGACTTTGGCTTAGCTAGGCTCATTCATGGATCAACAAGACATTCAAGCAAAGATCAAGTTAGTTCCTCAACAATTAAAGGAACAATAGGATATGTTCCTCCTGGTAAAGTTCTTTTCTATCTCTTCTTGTTACTATATATCATTCATAATGTGTTACATATATCTGTGAATATCACTACTATATATCAATACTTGCTTTTCTCTTTAATATAGGTTATCAAGTAATGATAGTTTCTTGTTATTTATGAAATGTACTAATTCAATGCCATATCTATTTCAATGTGACCTTCCATATTTTTAAGCATAATTTATGAAAATTGTTTCATTCAAATTTATTCTACAAAAAAAGCCTTTTTAGAATCATATGTAACAAAATATTATACATACTCTTTTGTTTATCTTTTCCTAAAGTTGTTTTCATTTTTCGAAAAGAGTATGGAGCAGGTGGTCCGGTATCATCGGAGGGAGATATCTACAGTTATGGAATTCTGTTGTTGGAAATGCTCACTGGAAAGAGACCAACTGATAATATGTTTTATGAGAACTTAAGTCTACACAAATGGTGTAAGATGAAAATTCCGGAAACAATTCTGGACATAGTAGATTCACGTTTGGTTATGTCATTTGGTGAAGATCAAACTTGGATTTTGGAGAACAACATAAAGGAGTGTCTGGAAATGTTTGCTAAAATAGGAGTTGCATGTTCTGAAGAATTTCCCACTCAACGAATGCTTTCAAAAGATGTTATAGTGAAGTTGCTTGAAATTAAACGCAAGTTGTCTATCTAAGCAATATTTCTACTGTTCAACGAGATGATTAATAAGGCTTGTAATCCTCATGAGTGTTTCTTCTTACTCTGTTATTTTTTACTGCTTAAATTCCTATGAGAGTTTCTCCATGTAGTTTTTTTGAATAAATATGTGCTTGTATTTATGTACTTTTAATTAGATAAAACTTTAATTTTTATAAATATTTAAAATTTTGTTTCTCTCTTGTAAAATTTCGTAGAAGTTTTGATTCTTGAAAATATTTTTCGCCGTAATTTTTATGTAGTAATAAAATTCCTGATCAAATTTATAGGGAATCTAGAGTTAGTCTCAATCCCTAAATTTTAAATTGCCAAGCTAGTTCTATCGCATTTAACATCGCCCAAATTCTTTAGTGTGAGCTTCACACAAACCAAATTTTGGCTCGTATCATATCATCTAATTTTTTGAGGAGTTCTTAAATAAATTTATGCATCCAGCGGGTGTTGGGGGAGTCTAGAAGATTTGAGAGCATAACTGAAATAATACTCCAAAATCATAAGAGAGAAATATCATAAGAGGGAGAATTTCTTCCATGAAAATATACCTTTGTTCTTGGACTCTCTATCCGGTTCCTCGACACGTTAGACCTTTTTAGAAATAATTTTTCAAAAATAATGTTGGAGAAATTTTCAAAATACTATCTAGAATAAAAGTAAGATCTTATAATGATTGGGTGCGTAGTCAAAAGGTATAATCACCATACTAACACAACTTTTCATTAAAAAATTATTGTTTTAAATGTCAAAAATCGTATCTAAGTTATTTTTTTTTTTATTTTTCTAGTGCACAAGAATAAATAAGAAAACTTTATTCTGTAAAATATTGTTGATCGATATGTTTAATGTGAATATGCGTTAAAGTTTCCAAAGTATTCTGAAGGGAATTTGCGGGTTAAACATTTCTTCTTGCTCATATTTTGCAACAGACTCTCAACACAAAATCTAACAATCTTTAGGTTCGATTTTTGATTTTAGATTTTGATCCATATTTTATTTATAATTAATATTTAAGTATGCAATTTTAAAAAAAAATGGTAACAATTTTCAATGTCGATGAAAGTTACACAGTTAATTCATATAATTTTTAAAATTATATAATTTTGATTTATAAATCTTTTTATTTGTTGTTAATTTGTGACTACAACGGAGTATTGAACATTTTTGCTTTCTTATTCATCAATATGGTGAAAGATACATAATTATATTAAATAAATATGTCATTTATACGATGTTTTAAATTCATGTAAAATATGTTGAAAATAATATTTATTTATGTTAAGTTTAACATAAGGAATAAATTTATATATATGCATGATTTATAAATTATTCAAGAATGTGAATTTGAATAATTAAGAATATGTTTGGTTTATAGTGTATTTATACGGAGTTTATGAATTATATGTTTGAATTCACTTTATGAAATAAAAGTTAATCATGACAAATATGTTTGATCGTAGTTGGCGATTGCTATAAATGTTTAATGAATTGAACATATTTCGGATATATTTAAGTGGAAGTAAGACTTCAAATTGAAAAGGTTAGCAAATAAAGAATAACATAAAATTTGTGTATATGACAAAATGAATGATAAAAGTGTCATGATTATAATTTATCGAAACTATCAAGAATATAGAACATATGTTGTATATGGAAATTGTACTAATATGACAAAAGTGTTATAATTTAATGATAGATGACAAATACTATCAAGAATACATAATATAATCATATGCATGATTAGTTGAAAAATTGAACATTTAGAATTTATTAAAGTTCAAAACGGAGCTGGCGAGTTTGGTGGTAAGAAGAGTATTGAAATATAGGTGAATCGTAGACCACACTTGTCAAAAATAAGTGCAGTCAACAAGCTTCATTAGAAGCGAGTCAGAAATGGTGGAAAGAAACCAAATGCAGATGAGTGCATCTTGTTGCTTCCGTTTTAAGATATTCAGAGCTAACATCGTTAGACGCTGGATCTGAACCAGGAAGAAAGCGAAGAGGAACAGAGGGTGTGGTGACAAATCTCTGAAGTTTGTGACCACGAATGACTTCATCGATTTGTTGCTTCCATTGTTTAAAGTTTTTGTCATCAAATTTTACGAAAAATTTGACGCAAGAATATGCTCAAAATACCATATTAGATTTGGTAGGTAAAGAGAGAGTTATTAAGATAAGATCTGATTACATATTTTTATATATTAAATTCATAATAAATGAGGAATAGAGTGCTCCATTATATAGGAGAACAAACTTTAACAGCTATAATAGGACAACTGTACACAGATATATCACTAAATCTAATAGAATCTAGAATAGAAAAACTTATATATTTTATTATTCTAACACGCCTCAAAAGTTTTAAATTCTCGCCTGCGTATTGTAAATTTAAAAAAAAAAATGATTGATTTTACAGTGGCAATGTCATCTTTTCATACATAATAGAGGTGTTAGGTTTAAGTAGGGTATCAAGTTAAACTCAGTATATTATCATATATTTTCAATTTTGCTTCTTTTTTAAATTGAAAAAAAAATAGTTTTCTGGTTACAGCCCCACACTGAACAACAGGAAATTGGTATAAAAATAAAATTGAGTTCGTAATGAATTATAAATTACAAAAGTGGGACGTTTGCAGCCTTGAATTTTGGCTTTAAATAAAATGCATGCACTACAGCCCTATCCTCTACAGTGATGATGCTGCCAGTGTTTCTAGAAAGGCGCGAGGGTTTCGTCTATAAACGGGAAAGGATATGGCAAGCAAACTAACAAGCCTATGAGCAAAACTGTTACTCCAAGAGCAACATACTTGTCATCAGGTTCACTTATTTCATCAGATAGAGGAGCAATTGGACCTCTTTGCAAGAAGAATATAACAACTACCCAGTAGAACGCTACATCATTAAGTAGTGATGACAGTCCAAGCAACACAATTGAAAATCCTGTCAAGCGAATTGAAGCCTGTGAAATAGACTTGTCTTGTTAGAATCTTGGCGTAAAATGGAACTAAAAGTGTGCATTTATTTAATATACTGCCAAACCAAGTTATTTTCACATTTAAAATGCTCGTTTTTGAAATGTAATGTGATACCTTTCTTCCCCATAAGGCAAAAGAAATTCTCCCTCCATCAAGCTCTCCAGCAGGAATACTGTTGATGGCATTTATAAGGAGTCCTGCCCAAGCCCAAATCACAAGAGGGTTCACAGAAATTGGAGTTCCTTCCTTGAGAGCGTTTCCAAGAAGCAGTTTTGCTAAAACAGTAAATAAAAAAAATCGCCACATACTTATTTTCTAAATTAATGAAGCGGCAAATAAAAATATTCAGTGATATATCATGCAGTAAGGATGTTCCTGAATTGCAAATTATCCTAGTTTCTTGTGTGACATTTTGTTTTAATGACAATAACTATTGACATCTTATGAAGTATAAAGATAACTAGTACAGTAGTTTTATAAATTTAATCTGGTTTCCGATTAGATCATTTTCATAAGCATAGACTTGAGAGTCAGTCCAATCTGTTAAATGAAAATTTTGTTTTTTATTTTTTTTCAATATCTAGTTTAATGGTTTGATTTGTACTGCTTAGGGAATGTAAATCTCTTCTTTTATCTAGTCCAAACCTCAGTATGAGATTTGGTAGAAAACAAGGGAACTAGATTGCTAATTCTCTTGCAAGAGTGACTCCATTCATGACTAGTTCCAGAGTTTTGTCGTGATCCACACTGTATTGTTCATTGTATTCTAATGAAATTCATTAAATTTGTCTTGCTTCAAAACAAAAGATTGGTTTGCAAACCCCACACTTACGGGAATAGCATGATTTTACTAATATAGATTAATATGATTCTTATGATGAAACCACAAATGAATGCAAGCTTAAATGTATATCTAAAGGGTATAGCTAATAGCTTACCAATGCCGCCAGCAAGAAATGACTCGTGAAACACAGAAGAGTCAATAACAACACCAATACCGTCGCTTGGGGGTATAATAAAACCTACAAGCAGAAGCACAAGACCAACGGTAAATCCAGCTATTGGTCCAGCAGCTGCAATCTTGAGCAAATCTTCGCGATTAGATACTATGCTTCTTATCCTTGTAATTGAACCAAAAGAGCCTATCTGCCACCAAATTAGGCATCAAAGTTCTGTTATAGTAACATGTCAGAAATAGTACATATCAACAACCAAAAAATAATTGGCCAATACACTACCAAAATTGTACACATCACCATACTGAGTCCATTTGAATCTTAAAAACATTCCATAACTTATTAAATTAGTTAGCATGAAAGAGATAAAGTTTAATTCCATCCCTAAAGTACCCATGATAGTCGTGCAACTCAGAAGCTAAGATTTGAGTTTGATGGAAAGCAACACAAGCAATTCCCATATGACAATATACTTAATATTTTTGGTATATAGATCAATCATAAGTAATATTGTGAAAGGAGCACCAATATGGATTGCTTCTCAATTGACATGCATCAACATAGATAAAGAAATTTAAAAATATGGATTGCGGCGCAAAGATGCATCCACTGAACTTCTATTTAAGAACTTTGAATAGTTTACATGATACATACTAGATGGAAAGCATGAGGTTCTGGATTTATATTATTCGAGATAATTGAAGAAATAAAATATATTTATATAAAACACCCACGCTCACACAGTTGGTATTAGGAGATCAATATTTATATTATACAACCTGCCAGCTAGGAATAAAGTACGGGATCCCAAGCTTAACTCCAGCGTTTTGAGCAACTAGAAAGTGACCAAGTTCATGTACCCCCAGAATAAGTGCAGTAACAAGGGCTCCAGGTAGGCCATCCTTTAACAAGTTCAGATTGTCATAAGTTGATCTGGAATATCAATAATAATATTTTGGTGAAACCTCCAAATGCATCTATGATATGAAACAGTAGTAGTCAACTAGTGAGGTTGTAACATTAACTCCCAAGAAAGGTGGAACAGAATTCAT